CTGCCTCCTCCGTGGGGCACGGCTCCAGCCTGCCCTGGCCCGCGGGAGGCTGGGAGGGAGCGGGGTCTCCCTCAGGCTGCAGGGCAGCCCCAGGATGGGCTTGGGGGGGCGGGTTCTGTTTCTGCACCGGGGAGGGCGGCCCATTATTTTATACAATAAACGTTCTCCAGCAACTCCTGCCTCTAACCACCAGCCCTGGTGCAGGGGGTGAGCCTGCTCCCACACCCCAACCCAAAGCAGGCGGCCCAGAGGGAGTGGGAGCCAGTGTGTTTAGCCCCGGCCCAGGGCAGAAAGCCCGGTGCTGGCATGGGCCCCTGGGAGGGGCACACAGAGGCTGGAGGTGTAGGGGGGCAGTCAGCAGTCAGGCCGTGGAGCCCTGTTTGTGCGGGCCCCTCCCCACGGCCCCCCCTCCGCCCAGCCTGGCGGATCAGGCGCTGAGTCTGCGAGAAGTCAGGAGGGAGGGCATCCAGGCTGAGGACCCAGGCAAAGGCGCAGAGGTCAGCACAGCGAGGTGGGGAGGGGCCGCCAGTGGGCTGTGGGGCACGCAGGTCGGAGAGGGTGGGGGATGAGACCCGGAGCCATGGTCCAGGGACCCGGACTTCACCCCCAGGCCACAGGCACCGCTCCAGGCAGGGCCGTGACCCGAAGGCCGCGGGTGGAGAGGGCTCACTGGCCTGCAGAGCCAACTGCGAGGTTTTCAGGAACTTTGCTACTCGGTTAGTAACTATAGAAACTTCTGGAAGGTCCCACCTCTGGAAGGTTCCAGCCTCTCCTGGAAAGGTGGCCACATGGCCACGTCCAAAAGTCTCAGGCCCCGGAGCCAGGCTGCCACCTGCCCAGGACCTGTGGTGAATGGCCACCTCCCCACCTGGGACTCATGTCCACACCGAGCCCTGAGCTCTGGCCACCTGCCCGCAGCCCAGGAATCAGTGCGGGCTGAGCAGGAGAATCGTGTTTATTGGGGGGGTGGGGAGGCAGGCCGGGCTCAGCAGGGAGCAGGGCTGTGGGGGGCGGGGCTCAGGTGGCCAGGAAGCCCCCGTCCACTGGCACAGCAGAGCCTGTGGTCATGCTGCTCTGGTCACTCAGCAGGAAAAGGATGGCGTCCACCACGTTCTGCACCTCTGCGGGAAGAGTTGGGGGCAGGGCAGACGGGCGCTCCCTCCCTCCTCCTCGTCCAGGCAGGCCTGGGGCCCCTGGCACACCCCCCGCTGGGCTCTGCAGACTCACCCGCAAACCTGCCCAGCGGGATCCGGTCCAGCATGGCCTTCGCCTTAAGGGGGTCGCTCCAGTTGGCCTTGCCCATGGGCGTCATCACCACCGTGGGGTTCACTGTATTCACACGGATCTGTGCGGGGACGGGGGGCTCAGCACAGTGGGCTGGGGGGCCCCGGGCACCCAAGGATGGGGGTCACCCCAGCAGGCCCACCTTGTGGGGTCCGAGCTCCAGAGCCATCACCTTGGTCAGCATGTCCATGGCACCCTTGGTGGCACCTGTGAGAGGGACTGTGT